AACAAAATGTGTATATATCATACTTGCAAAACACATAATAAACCAATTTTTTGACACTAAACATAATTATTTAAGACTCTATTATACAATTTCCTTTTCAAACATGTTATATATAATCTAGATATAATTATTTTACCCTAACAATCCACACATTCTTTCACATATCATTACTTTAAATAAACTTATATTCAAACTCAATTACAATCAACACACAATAAACACATTCAATCACATAATCCAATTTTATGTAATCCAAACAATGTGACCAAGTCACCTTCACAACCCATATATTATAATAGAAATTGAAGAATAACTAACTTCTCTTACATTTCAAATTTTTTGCTTAAAGAAAACCTAAAAAACTCTCAAATCTATAAGAAGTCAAATCTTACTAAAACAATTTTGATCAACAAATTAAACATGTTACAATCTTTGTGTGTATTCATATAAAAGCTTAATAAGTGTCTACACTTACTTTCAAGTAATTAAAAAATTGTTAATAATTAATTATAAAATAGTTATTAATGTTATTATGTTATATATTTTGTATTAGAAGATATTATTTACTTCAGAGTGTAAAGGTATTTATTTAGGTTTTGAAAAATTCACTCTCAATCTAATAAAAATCAACCTCTCATGTTAGATTGAGTAAATATTTACAATATTTTTACAAGATATTAAACCTAATTCGATTTGATTAGATTAAATTGAGTTAATAATGTCACAAATATTTTAATTTTTTTAAAATTATAATTTTAAAAATCTTTTTTATATATTTTAGAATAATATTTAAAAAATATATTATATTATTTTATATTTTAAATATATATATATATATAATAAAAAACAAATAATTAAATAATAAATTTTAGTTTTTTTTATTATTATTTAATAAGTTTATTAAGTTGAGTTGACTCAAGAATTACATTTAATATAAGAAATTAGATGGTATCATATAGATTAGATTTGACTAATTTAAAAAAAAGAAAAAAATATTGTAACCTGATTTTTTTAGATGGAGTAAAATTGAACAATCGGATTATATAATGTATAGATCCTAATTTATTTTTCCAAAAATTCTTATATTTTTTTTGAAGAACTAGTAAAAAAATAATAATTTAATCTGTATTTCAAATTAAAGAAGAAAAAAATAAAAAAATAGAAATAATTTATTTTGTACAATTTAGTAATTTAAAAACATGACTAACATTCATTTTTATTTATTTCTATCTTACCTTTTTTTTTTAATTATAGGTATTTACGACTTTTATTTGATATTAAACTAATCTCTTTCCCCTCAAGTTTATTGATCCATTTTAGGGAGAGATTATACCTCCATTTGCTATTTAACGTCTACAAACTAAACATTATACCTCAATTAAAGATCTACTTATGTCAACCTACTAATTTTAAGAGAAATTTTATTTTATATTATTTATTGTAGGTTAAATATATACATAAGATTATATCATATCTTTTTCAAATTATAATCCACAACTCCTTCTGGTTTATTATAATAAATCTTCTACAAATCTATTTAAGAAATCATAATCTCGAATAATTAAAATTAATCACAATTAATCTATAAATATTTCAATATACATAATATATTGTCCGTAATATTTGTAATATAAAATTAATTTATAGATAACACAATATTTACGATCTATCGAGTCACAATTTCAATTAATCTCCAATAACCTTAATATCTTATCTCAATTTGGTGCATGAAAATTTTGAATGGTCAACTTCTTAAGTATGGAAGAAAAATATGCATGCCCAAAACTTTGGTAAATATATTTGCAAATTGTGTACAAGTGGGAACATAAAATGGTTGTAAGCATCTATAAAGTATCTCATTACAAACAAAATAAGAATGCACTTCATTATGTTTAGTGTGTTCATGAAACATATAATTCTCGATTATGTGTAAAGTAATTTGACTATCACAATATATATGCATGAGTGTGGAATGATAAATACCAAGGTTGGAAAGAATGTATTTCACCCACTTATAGTTCACATGCAATGGTAGCTATAAAATAGTATTCTACTTTAGCTAAAGAACGAGATATTATTTGTTGTTTCTTTGTTTTCTAAGAAATAAAAAAATTTCCAAAAAATAACACAACATGTAAAAGGCCTATGAGTGAGAGGACATACCACTCAATCTACATCACATTATCCATAAAGTTTCATATAGCTAGAATATTTCAATATTTGCTTTCAAATATTGAATAACTTGAAGAACAACTTCTCTTAACCATATCATATATGAAACATAATCACATTTTTTATAATAGAATTGCATAAAATCTTACCTCTACATTTTTTTCTATTTTTTTATTGTAACCATTTTCTGTTGTTCTGTCATTTAACTTTATTATTACTATAAATATATATCATCTCACTCTTCAAAATACAAGAGATTTTGTTTTGGTCATTACACCTCATTACATACGTTCCTCTCTCTCCCTTTCTCTAATGAGTTTTGGCATGATAGTGTACAAGAGTTACATTTGGTCCCGTATGTTTATTATAGTATGAGAAATCTTCAACTCCTATCTCTCATATTCTAATATGATCAATAGTGGAAATACAAAACATATTCCTAATATCAACAACTACTAATTTTTACACTCGAGTGAGAACCCAGCCATTTTAATTCTAATTTTTTTCCACAATATTCACAATATAGAATTAATCATAAGTAAAGATAATAATATACACAATCTATTGACCACAATTTGAATAATCTATTTTTGGTTTTTTTTACCATTTAAACTTATTATACTTATGTTTCTCTTTCTAAATCTTTTGTTCTACTAGGTATTAAATAAATGAGTTTATGAGAGAAGACAAGTCTTATGTGGAGGAAAATTTACTTTGTTGCTTATTTTTCATGTTATGAATTAGAACATATCAATTTTTTATTTTGTAGTGCTTGAGGGAAAAAAATAAGAAAGAAATTAATTTCTTATATGAAATTCTCTTTATAATTATTTTCAAAAAAGATACTATCCTTTTCTCTTAGAGTTAGAGAGAAAAAGATGTAATTTTCTTTTTATTAGTAAAATTACATTATCTATTATCTATTTTATTCCTTTATTTTAGTTTTGAGTTTTTTTACTGTTAGTTAGATGTCAGATATTAATGGTCTAGAGTTTATGTTTAGAATTTAAGATAATTATTATAAAATATTAGCAAATTTTATAATACTACATGATTTATCATTTAATGAAAATGTAATTTATAGTATTTTGTTTTGTCATTATTCCTTGTAGGAAATTCTCAGTGTCGGAACTAAGGGGCTTGCAGGGCACGGTCCACAATTAGTTTTTGTTATGTTATATATATATATATATATATATATATATATATATATATATATATATATATATATATATATATATATATATATATATATATATATATGATAATTATTTTTTAAAAATTAAATAAAAAGTATTTTATAAATATAAAAAAATTAAATATTTTATCTTTTATTCTCTTAATTTTTTTATTTATAATAAATATCATATTTATTATGTTTTAAAAAAATTCTTCCTTTTATTTTTCATATTTTATTTTTTTCTCATCTTTTTATTTTCTGCCATAATTTTTTCTATTAGTTGCATTTTCACATTTTTATGTTTTATTTTTATTACTTATTTATTTTCATATTTTTCTCTTTCACAAACTCACACAACATAAAAATTTAAATATTTTTTCTTTAGTTTTCAATTTTTTATATATAATTTTATCCCACATAACAATTATATTTTCTTTTTGTTTTCTTTTTTATTTTATTCAATAAAACATAAGATAAAAAGTTAAAAAAATATAAGAAAGATACCTTATAATAATTTTTTTAAGTAAAACATAATAAATAATTTTATTTTTCTTTAATATTTTTATTTATTAATATAATAATTAACATGTGTAATATAATATAAAAATATGAAATATTGATATAAATATTGTTATTTGTTATAAATTAATTAATTATTTTAATATTTTATATTTTGACGTTAAAATGTGAAAAAAATCAGTTTAAATTTTAAAAATATCTAAAAATAAAATTATAGACTATCTTTTTTTTAAATAGATGAAATCAATTTTATTTTATAAAATTTAAATTTAATTAAGAATATTAATTATATAATATTTTTTATATAATAATTAATTTTATATGATGTCCGCTCGTTTAAAATATCTCTTTCCTCCGGAAATTCTCAATTCGTTATTTATATATAAAAACTTATCAAAGTGTTTTTTCTATTTATAAAACAGTATCCATTTGAAACTTATACAGCCAACTGATAAGATATGATGTTAGTATGATTTTCAATTATAATGAAAATAAAAAAATTTAATTATGTAATGAATGATAATAGAAAAGTACTAATAATTTATCGTATAAAAATAAATAAGAAAAGTAAAGCTATTTTCTATATTTAGTATTTTGATACAGAGATACCAGTGTCTTAGGATTGGTCAAAGAACAAATGTTAAGGTTGTTTTTTTTTCTTTTTCTAATGGCCTCCTAACCTCCCAAGAAATTATGCTGTTTTCATTGATAGAAACATAGATACATTTTATTTTGCCGAGTGAAATTTATTTAAATTCTATTAATACGTCAATCTTATTTTTTGTACGACGGGTCTTATTTCTAAACAAATAAAATGCATATGGATTTTATTTAAATTAAAGACTCATTACATTATAATTAAATACACGTATCTATTTTTGGCATTATGTAACATATTTTTTATCATTTAACTTGTTAATAATTATAAAACTCATTGTGAAGAAAAATCTACTTATTTTTTTATATACTAAATTTTAGCTTAAAAGTGTATTAGATAATATTTCCCTTTAAAAAATTCTTTGATTATTTCAAGGTGGAGTATTTATACCATGGCAAAATCATTATATGTGTTTTGGATACACGGACTGATAAAAAAGGTTGGAAAGTAACAACATTTATGTCGAGAGCAATGCATGGGGACATGTTGATGAGGTTGCTTTTGCACTGTTGCCTCGGTGGTGGCACCCCACGACAACACCCTTTGCGTTACCTTTTATTTCATTTTCTTCCGTTGAATCCTGTTCCAGCCACTATCTCCATCAAGTGTGGTGTGAAGTGTGAACGAACACATACACCAACATTGTTGAAACTTCAAACCAACTCAAACAATCTACCTACAACATCTGAATACTCCTATTACCTAACACTCTCAACACTCGACGAGTGAGAGATTATTAAAACTAAAATAATTATAAAGTCAGATCCGTGAATCTGGTTTTAATCACTCCTGCACATTTCTATACGCTTAGGATTGGTCTTGGTTGAGTTGCTCTTTATTTAGGCGAAAAGGTTTTTAATTTTTAATGGGGGATAATTTTTACCATTGAGGACCAATTTTCAAATAATCCAAACATAGAAACAGAAAGTTCGACAGATGGGTAGCTTTCATGGCGTCAAACACTGATAAGGTTCAGGTTTTTGGAATCTGAGCTTTGGTTGGTAAGTCCTAGGCACTGTTCTTACTATTATTGTTTGTCTTTCTCGTTTCTCAGCTCTCACATGTCCACCCGTGTTTATCTAGAAATCTTTTTTCTCCTCTTCTCTTTCTTAGGACTTCCATCATTGCCTTTGAATTTGAAAAACCTGTCATCTCTCTCTATATCTTTTATCTCCTTTACCATTTTCCGAATTTTGTGTTCCCATAAGTTACGTGGTTTGGTTTTCAATTGCATGGACGTGTTATTGTTAGCATTATGTTTTTACATAACCGTTTCATGACACGAGTAGTGAAATTCTTAAGTGGCATTGTTCATTTTGCTACTTAAAAATAAAGACCAATGCTGTTTTAGCTCTACAGGAATAAACAGTCTCAATAGCAACGATAGTTCACTCCAACCATGTCAACTTTGTTAATCAATTTACAAATTGTAATCCATTGTTGAATTTTAACAGAACCGTGTCTGCTGAAGGTGTTGAACCCCTTGTGAAAGCGTGCACTCAGAAGTGATTTGTGTTGGGTTCACTTAGAAATCCACACTTTTTGGAAAATGTTGTGTGCTTGTTCCGGGGAGCAATTCAAATTTGAAGAGGCACCACAGTCACCTGAATCCTTGGCAACAAGGGATTTTTCTGCAAGCGGCCTTTCTTCAAGGACTGGGGATTGGGAATCCAAATTTGATGAGACGCAAGTGGAAGATGTTGAATCTACTCTGAAAGAAACTCTGTCATTAAACTATGAGGTATGGATTAGTGTTTCTTTCTTAGTCAAAGTATTTTCAAAATAGCATATCGTGAAAATATTTTCTGCTAACATAAGACTACTGTTTGATTTTAATTTTCTCCTTTTCGGTGAATTAAAGGAAGCTCGGGCTTTGCTGGGGAGGCTTGAGTACCAAAGAGGGAACTTTGATGCTGCTCTTAAAGTTTTTGAGGGTATAGACATAAGGGATTTGGCCCCAAGGATGATCAGGGCTATAGCTGAAAGAACCAAGCAAAGAAAACCACGGTCCAAGGGGGATAATGTGCTTCCTAATGTGATGTCAATGCATTCAGTAAGCCTGCTTCTTGAGGCAATTTTGCTTAAATCCAAATCCTTAGAAGAACTTGGAGGATACACTGGTATCACCACTTTCGTATCTCTTTCAGACGCCTTACATATTCTTGTATTTTGTTTGATTTAGCAAGTTCTTGCTAAGAACTGTAATTTTTACTTGTAGGATATTGAAAGTTTTGCTCTTGTATGTAGAGAATCTTGAAAAACAGTCCGTATTAGGATCAAAGCTTCATAAATGCAGCATTATTATATGAATAGTTGTGTTTTATTTTTGCTATGAGAGGCCACTTACACATGTATGGTTTGGCAGTCAAGGGTGCCAATTCTAATCACTGCTGCTTTCTTATTTACCAGAGGCTGCAAAGGAGTGCAGAATTATTGTGGATATAGTTGAATCTGCCCTTCCCAAAGGTATGCCTGAGGGTATTGGTGAAGATTGTAAGTTGCAAGAAATGTTCCACAAAGCATTGGGGTTGCTTCCAAATCTATGGATCAAGGCAGGTTTTCTAGACGAAGCTGTCACTGCTTATCGGTGGGCTCTAGTCAAGCCGTGGAATTTGGAGCCCTGGAGATTGGCCTGTGTACAAAAAGATTTGGCCACCACACTACTCTATGGCGGTGTTGAAGTAAACCTACCCTCTCAGTTGCAAGTGAATGGTCTGACAACACCTATGAGTGGCACTGAAGAAGCCATACTTTTGCTATTAATACTCTCAGGAAAGATGGCACTTGAGGAAATAGACTGGGACCCTGAAATAATGGATCATCTTACATATTCACTTTCAATTACTGGAATGTTTGAATCATTGGCAAATAACGTAGAGAAGGTCCTTCCAGGTGTTTATGATCGGGCAGAGAGGTGGTACTTTCTTGCTCTTTGTTACAGTGCAGCAGGACAGAATGAAGTAGCCTTGAACCTTTTGAGGAAAGCTTGTGCTAGTTCTGAAGCAAAGCATAGACCCTATTTTCCTTCATTTTTGTTCGCTGCAAAGCTGTGTTCTTTATATCCAAACCATGCTCATGAAGGCATTAAATTTTCACAGGAAGCTATCGATCTAGCCAAGCATCAAAATGAGCATTTTCTGGGTCAGGGCCAAAAATTTCTGGGCACTTGCTACGGGGCTGCTGCTAGAATATCTGTACTGGATTCTGAAAGAATTATATTTCAAAGAGAGTCTTTGAAATTTCTAAATGCTGCTGTTGCTCTTAATGGAAATAATGATCCAGAAGTGATATTCAGCCTTGGATTGGAAAATGCAATCCAAAGAAATCTAAATGCAGCATATGACAATCTAATAATGTACTCTGACATGATGGCTGGCAGCTCAATAAGAGGTTGGCAGTTGTTACCACTCATAGTATCAGCACAGCAGCGGTTTAAGGATGCGGAAACTATAGTTGATTTTGCTTTAGATGAGGCTGGTAGTGTAGACCAGTTACAACTACTGAGACTGAAAGCTATACTTCAAATTACTCAGAAGCAACCCAAGCAAGCAATAGAGATCTACAGAATCTTGCTAGCAGTAATTGAATCACAAAAGGAGCATTGGCTTCAGGCTAAGGCATTTTGGCATGAGGTGTGTAGTATTGTTTAAGGGAACAGCACTACAACATCCATCGTATAGGCTTGTATTAAATTGAATAAAGAAGTTGCTCGTCTGTTGGAAGTTGCTCAAATATAAGAGTTAATGTTAAGACTAGTTAATTAAATTTAAAAGCATCAATAATAGTCACCTACTTCACTAAATGCTAGAGTTTTTCATTTTTGTGGTCCAATATCCGATGCTCGTTGTAAAATATTATTCATGACTAGGGACAGTTTTGCCTATTGATAGTCTAAGTATTTAATTAATCTCCCGAATCCGTGGAAAAAATTTCCCTCCTTCACTTTTCATCTGCTTGCAGGCATTAACACAACAGAAGTTGGAAATGGAAGTCTGGCAAGATTTGGCTACCATTTATGCAGATCTGAGTTCCTTTCTTGATGCAAAAGCTTGTGTTGACAAGGCCCAGCTGATAGAATTTTTTTCTCCCCGAAGTTGGCATCTAACTGGTATGAAGCTTGACAACTGAGTGGTTATTTTTTAATTGTTGAACTGCAGTATATGATCACCAATCTGTAATTACAACTCCATGAATTAACAAATCACCAATCTGAAATTACCTGTATGTTCAATGACAGGGCTGCTGCTTGAATCTCGAACATTGCATAAGGAGGCACTTGTTTCCTTCTTAGTCTCGTTGTCAATAGAACCGGATTACCCTCCCGGTATAATTTCAGCTGCAAAATTGTTGCTTAAATTTGGCATGCAATCACTCCCAATTGCTAGAAGCTTTTTAATGAATGCCTTGAGATTAGACCCCACAAACCATGATGCATGGTTTAACCTTGGACGGGTTTCAAAAATGGAAGGTTCATTACAACAAGCAGCAGATTTCTTTCAAGCCGCATCTGAGCTGAAGCTTTCAGCTCCAGTGCAAAAATTTGAGTGACTGAGACCTCGGAAGAAGAATTGTAAATTTTGTGGTTGAGCAATAAGTGAGCTCAACAAGAACATTATACAAGAGCCAGGAGCAGCAACTTATGGGAAAGAAATATACCCTTGGTTAAATATTTGTGAAGAAAGCTATAGCCAAATGTAGCTACTTATTTATAGATTTACTTCATTATGTTCGTTCAGATTTGACAAGATGATTTGAAGGACAGAAGTTTGGGTCCCCAACCGGTAAAGAATTTATAACATAATTCCAAGCAGAATTACTTTAGTTGTTTGCTCTCCAATATGATGTGTAAGGTGAGGTTAATCCCTGCATGTGAAGTTAACGCACATAATAGCTTGGGTAGCTAATTATAATAGTTTCAGTTGATAGTTATATTTCTCCATTCTTTTTTGTACATCACTTCAGAAAAATGATACTCATCATTTGAAGTTTATATGTTCGGAATTTCTTTCAATGATTGGGTTAACTAACGTTTTTTCTACTATATCATTTTATATCTCATTATTTTATTATGTCAGACACATTTAGTGCATGTATGAAAAAAAAAATCTTGAAAATAATTGTTTATTTTACCAAAAACAGTTTCAGTAAAATTGTTGACGACTTGAATTTCTATAGAAAGTAAATGGAGTTGCTGAAATATCATGTAACAAAGGGGAAGAAAATTTTTCTACAATCTCAACTTATCCCATTCCCATACACCACGATTTCTTTACAAATTTACAATCAAACACGATTCTTGGTGGGGAAAACAACAAATTGCAGTTGGGATACAATTATTGCAGTAAATATCTTTACATCTTCGGAAAAAGGGAAACATGCAGAGAATAGAATTTTGATTGGACCTATCACCGATACTGTAACACAAGTAAAGAAAACTGATGAGACAATTATCTAAACAATAAAGAGACATTTACATTCTGTGCAGTAAAAAGGTACTTGATATTGATCTCTACTTTAACACTATGTTACAAACATTATACCAGTGGGTCTAATCAACACAACCTGAAAAAATCAGTTAAGTTTTAAACTAATTCGACTGAGTTGGTAAGATTCGGTATATCAGGATGTTTTTGTCTAGTTCAGCAGCAGATCTCGAAATGATATGATTACTCCAGGAAAAATGTAATGTATTACTGATAGCAGCACTACTGATTCTGGCCCAATTGTTGATAAGTTGATTGGCCCAAGGGATAGTAACAAAGAGAATACCGTGGAAAGGCCTAGAAGGGGACACAAGCTACCAAATTATCTCAGCGACTATGGCACCAACTAAAATAATACCTATGCTTTATAGTATTTAATTTTATTAAATATTTCATATTTTGCTGAGTTGTAATTCTGTTTTAGATTCCTTTTGCCGTAATATTTTCTGTTTCCGCAAATTACGGACAACCAATCATTGGTGACGTGAAAGATATTAAATATTATGGAATGAAATGAAAAAAGGAGGCAAGAAAGAAGTATTTTTCACCTTCCTTCTCTATTCTCCCAGGAGGTACCTTGATCCTCGAAATCAAGGCAAATCGTAACCCTATCAATTTGGTGCTTTAATTGAATTCTCCACCATGGCTGAACACAACACTCGTTCCAAAACCATTGACGACGCCATCCTCTGCCTCACACAAAACCAAGCCCAACTTACCACCTCACAAACCGAACTCAATACCAAGCTCGATTTCATCCTTTCTCAGCTTTCCCAACTCGACACTTCTTCAACATCCCCTCCAACCCACAACAACACCTTCAAACCACACATGAAACTAGATGTCCCCAGGTTTGATGGTCACGATGCAACCGGTTGGATCTTTAAGATCAATCAATTTTTCAAATACCATTCCACCCCCGAGGAGGACCGTCTCAAGGTGGCTTCCTTTTATGTGGATGGGGCTGCCCTAAGTTGGTTTCAGTGGATGCATCAGAATGGTCTGCTTCAGTCATGGCCCATTTTTATTCAAGCTCTGGAAACCCGCTTTGCCCCTTCCTTTTATGAGGATCCTCGTGGCCTTCTCTTCAAACTTTCCCAGCATGGCACCGTCAACGACTACCTCACAGAATTTGAACGGTTAGCTAGTCGGGTTGTTGGTCTCCCACCTTCTTTTCTTTTAAGTTGCTTTATATCTGGTCTCACCCCTGAGATTAAGAGGGAGGTTTTAGCTCTGCAACCACTAACATTTACGCAGGCGGCGGCTTTGGCTAAACTACAAGAGGATAAGTTCTTGGATCTGCGTAAAGGGACACGTAACCGTTTTCCTTTTCTTTCTCCACAGCTTCCAAGTTCACCCTCTGCTCCATCACATTCGACCCGTTCCCTGCCACCACTCCTCCCTTCACCTCCCAAGACAAATTATAAGAAGCTTACCCATGAGGAAATGCTGACCCGTCGAGAGAAGGGTTTATGTTACAATTGCGACGAGAAGTTCCACCCAGGGCACAAGTGCAAGGCCCGTTTCTTCCTCTTGGTTGCTGAGACTACTGACGAGGACATTCTCTCATCGGATTCACCTTCCAACCCTGACCTGGATCCGTCTCCTTTGGAATTTGAGTGTAAAGAGCTCTCTTCAGCCCAAATTAGCTTTAATGCTCTCTCTGGTTTGCCAGCTCCAGAGGTTCTTCGTCTAATGGGTCTTATTTCAAAGCAACAGGTCACTATTCTCGTGGATGGAGGCAGTACGCATAATTTCATCCAAGATCGTGTGGCCAAATTTTTGAACTTAACATCCCAGCCCACCCCCACACTAAAGGTGATGGTTGGTAATGGTAGCGTCATTGAGTGCCATCAGATTTGCCCAGCTATCCTAGTTTCAATTCAGGGTCAAAGTTTCACTATTGACTTTCATGCGTTACCCATTAGTGGGGCAGAAGTGGTTTTAGGGATCCAATGGCTAAAACTTTTGGGCCCAATTATCACTGACTACTCCAAAATGACAATGCGTTTTATGCAAGATGGCCGCATGGTTGAACTTAAGGCAGATATTCCTTCTGGGCCTAAGGACATTTCAGCCCATCAACTAAAACGGATTTTTCAAACCCATTCAGGTGCAGCCTATTTTCACATACAAATCCTCCCGCATTCTTCCCCTTCCATTACAACCGTCGTCACCCTACCTTCACACACTGATCCTTTTATCTCTTCCCTTCTCCACAAATATGAACCTCTTTTCCTTTCCCCTATGTCTTTACCTCCTCCACGCAATACCGACCACCACATTCATTTACTGCCTAACTCTTCCCCAGTCAATGTTCGACCATACCGTTACCCACATTTTCAGAAATGTGAGATTGAGAGGCAAATTGACGAAATGCTTCAAGGAGGGTTGATACAACCAAGCAATAGCCCATTTTCCTCACCCGTCCTTTTAGTTAAGAAGAAGGACAGTAGTTGGTGATTTTGTGTGGACTTTCGAGCTCTTAACTCAATTTCTGTGAAGGACAGATTCCCATTGCCCACCATCAACAAACTTCTTGATGAATTGGGCGGTGCCCAGTGGTTTTCTAAGCTGGATCTTCGTCAAGGGTTTCATCAGATTCGTATGAATGAGGCTGATATCTACAAAACTGCTTTTCGCACTCACATGGGTCATTATGAATATAGGGTCATGCCTTTTGGCCTTTGTAACGCTCCTTCCACCTTCCAGGCTACTATGAATGATCTGTTAAAGCCAATCTTGCGCAAATTTGCCATCGTTTTATTCGATGATATCTTGGTTTATAGTAAGTCCTTTGAGGACCACTTACACCACTTGGAACGTACATTTCAGATATTGTTTGAGGGCCATTTTTCCTTAAGGGGTCAAAATGCATCTTTGCTCGACAACAATTTGAGTATCTAGGTCACATTGTTTCTGCTAACGGGGTGGCCGCAGGCCCCTCCAAAATCCATGCCATGGTGACTTAGCCAACACCCACCTCTACTCACGCTTTACGTGGATTTTTGGGGTTGACAGGATTTTACCGACGCTTCATTAAGGGCTATGCCTCTATTGCCTCTCCCCTTACTACATTATTGAAGAGGGATAGTTTTGTCTGGAGCCCTACTGCTCAATCTGCATTTGAGCATCTCAAGAAGGCCATGACCGAGGCTCCTGTTTTGGCCCTTCCGAATTTCACTCTCCCTTTTCAACTTGAAACCGATGCTTCAGGGTCTGCCATGGGTGTTGTTTTGATGCAACACGACCATCCCATTGCATTTTTGATGTCTCAGGTGATCCAAACACCCGAGCAGCAAGTCTACCTTTCCAAGTTATTAGGATATGACTATACTATACAATATAAGGCAGGGAAACATAATGTTGTTGCTGATGCATTGTCCAGGCCTCCTGATAACACACAGGCTCAGTTTTTGGTTCTCTCTATGCCTCGATTTGTCTTTTTGGATCAGCTGCGCAAGTCTCTGCAGGATAGCTCTGAATTCTCATCTTTGCTGGCTGACGTGCGTAATGACCCGAATGCCTTTCCCCTCTATACCATTCATAATTATTTTTTGTTGTATGATGGGAAATTATGGTTGAACCAAGATAACCCATTTATTCCTCTTTTGTTGGATGAATTCCACACTACACCCTTGGGCGGTCACATGGGTTTCGCAAAAACCTTGGCACGCCTTTCAGAGCAATTTTTTTTGGAAGGGAATACGTTCCAGCATTCGTACTTTTGTCTCACAGTGTCACACTTGTCAACAGACTAAGTACGAAACACAGAAACCAGTCGGGTTACTCCAGCCGCTTCCCATTCCTCTAAATGCATGGGAAGATCTCTCTCTTGATTTTATTACTGGTTTACCCTCTTCCATGGGTCATTCTGTGATACTAGTCGTTGTCGACCTCTTTACTAAGGGGGCTCATTTTGGCACTCTCCCCACTCACTTTACTGCATTTCGGATGGCACAACTTTTTATGGACATGGTTTGCAAACACCATGGGATTCCGCGCAGCCTTGTTTCTGACCGTGATCCCATCTTTATCAGCAAATTTTGGCGCGAGTTGTTTCGTTTATGTGGGACGAAGCTCCGTATGAGTACATCTTATCACCCCGAAACTGATGGGCAAACTGAGGTCCTTAATCGTACTTTGGAGCAGTACCTCCGTTCCTTTGTTCACACTCAGCCCTGCCACTGAGGTCGCTATATCCCCCTTGCTGAATGGTCCTATAATACAACCATCCACTCAGCCATTGGTTTGACTCCATTTCAGGCAACTTATGGCAAGCCTCCCCCTTCCATCCCATTTTACTTAACCGGATCTTCTACTGTGGAGGCCGTGGATTCATTCCTTACTACTCGCCAAAACCTCATTACATGTTGCGTAAGAAGCTTGAGAAGGCGCAATTAGCCATGAAATCCATAGCTGACCGTAGTCGGTGGGACGTTTTTTTTAAGGTGGGTGATTGGGTATATATTCGCCTCCGTCCTTATCGACAACGTTCGCTCCGTCCCACTTCTTTCCCTAAGCTGGCCAAGCGCTTTTATGGACCATTCCAAATCACAGCTCGTATAGGTCCTGTCGCTTATAAGCTCGATCTTCCTCCGAATTCACGCCTACATCCTGTGTTTCATTGTTCTATTCTGAAGCTGCATAAGGGTCCTCTTCCATCAGTCACGGCTACCCTTCCACCTCTTGCTCAGGATCACATGCCCATCATCGAACCACTTGCTATTTTGGACACAAAATTGGATCCTTCCACTATCCCGCCCACAAAGTTTTCTCTGGTTCAATGGAAGGGTCTTGCTCCAGAAGACACTACTTGGGAGCTTTGGTCTGAACTCGTTTCTGATTTTCACCTTGAGGACAAGGTGCCTTCGGTAGCGGTGGGTATTGATAGCAGCAGTACTGATTCTGGCCCAATTGTTGATAAGTTGATTGGCCCAAGGGATAGTAACAAAGAGAATACCGTGGAAAGGCCTAGAAGGGGACACAAGCTACCAAATTATCTCAGCGACTATGTCACCAACTAAAATAATACCTATGCTTTATAGTATTTCATTTTATTAAATATTTCATATTTTGCTGAGTTGTAATTCTATTTTAGATTCCTTTTGCTGTAATATTTTCTGTTTCCGCAAATTACGGACAACCAATCATTGGTGACGTGAAAGATATTAAATATTATGGAATGAAATGAAAAAAGGAGGCAAGAAAGAAGTATTTTTCACCTTCCTTCTCTATTCTCCCAGGAGGTACCTTGATCCTCGAAATCAAGGCAAATCGTAACCCTATCAATTACCGATGGACAATGTTAAATGTAACGGGCTTATTTATGCCCATATTATTTGTTTATTTCCTTAATCTTTGTATTTATTTTATATATAAAGAGATAACTCTATGCTTCTCATATTTCACCAGACAATAACCAAATGAACCTAGTCTAAATCAGAAACCAACTCGTTTGCTATCTCCCCCTTCCATTTTAAACTTTTGGTCCTTCAAAATACTTTGGAAGTTGATATTAGTTCCTAAGAAAATAATAAATTTTTGGCACCTTTATTTGCACAGAAACATGCATTAAATTTTTATAGGTCTACAACTAATATTTTAAAATATTTTGAGGACGTGGTCAGTGGATTAGTTGAGAAGCATTATACAGATACCGCTATATTACTACATATGCAATTTGAACAGAATGTTCAAGAAAAATAAAAAGTAATTACCATTAATATTTTATTGAGATGCATATCCGACTCAATCTTTTATTTTCCACCTTGATACACATTTTGGACAGTGAGCTGCATTATAGTAGACACAAACTTTTATTCGTGCAAATATTCTTTACAGCTAAGAAAAGAGACTGAAAATGGTTTTGTTTGTTTACAATAATAGGCTACACCTCATCTTTTCCAAATTGGTTTAGCCCAATTATGCCTAAACTCAGTTTTGTTGTTTACGTTATGCCTACTTTCCTGCTTATTTTTATATAGATGCTAATGCTAATTATCTTAAAATAAAATCTGTTATGTCTTATAGAACTTAAAACTAAACTAATTCCATAACCAAATAATTGGGCAAAGTAGAATTCAACAGATGAATCATTCACCTTACACCTAATAAAAGTTGATCCAGACTGTCTAACCTCAACCCATTTTCCACTGCATTCACAAATGGAAGAGCCAAAACATATCATTAGTTATGAGATATAGTAAAAGGAGTATGGTACAAATTTACAGAAATCAAAAACTAATTCAACAAACACTTAATCAAGGAGCACTGAACCTATATAATAGCACATAAGCAGATTAATGGCAGTATTAAACTACCTATTCATAGTTGCCAAAAATATAAGCAGTGTCTCGAATCACCAAACCTTTAGAACTGGTTCGCCTTTGTTGGAGCTTGCAGTTTTCTTTGCCATTGCTTGTTGATGTGCACGTGCAGCTCGTCCTGCTGCAGAATTCTCAAATTGCTCCTGCCTACAATTCCAATTAATACACATTAGTTGATCTATAGTTAATTTACTTATGCAGTCACTAACCCATAAAAGAGCATTATAGCAATCCTAAAATATCTTTTGTTGTTTCATGCTACCTCTAAAAGCAGACTTTATTCCATTATTATCTGTTTGTTAATTGCAGTGAGCCTTGCACTCATTTTCTATTATGAATTCCACAACCATTTCAGTCGGTTTAGAAGGTAGTATAGTACCTAACAGTGACGTGAGTAAACAATCCCCATGGACATTGTGACATTGAATTTTCCCAGACAATGTGATATTAGTATAATGTCTGTAGTGTATGGAATACGTTACAAAGCAACATATCAATGTATGCCCTTTAAGAATGAGAAGAAGCAGTGAGCTCTATAAACAAAATTAAGGCCTCATATCTATAAAACACAGAGGTGCTGATAACACATCTCTAACACTCTATACAATACTCTTTTAACATTCTCTTTCTTATAAGTCAATTCATGATAAAAAGTTAATCAAAGCCCCGTGATCCACAAAATTTGGCGATCTTGAAAATTTTCAACTCATATGAATGAGTATGACCGAGGGTATATGCCTAGTATTTCTCTGACCAAAATTCCCCTTTTCTTTATGTATTTCTAATTGGGTTTTACTAATGATACGACGGGATAAAATAAAGCACCAAAAAGTGTGATTAGCTAGGTATAATTTATAAAGCAAAAGGGAAATCAAAAGCAGATAATTTTTAATCAATAAAAGCACAATGAATAACGATCGAACAAACCATGTGGGTATACAAATAAAAACCCAAATCCCATTTTATTTTATTTTTTTTCGAGAATTGAACGGTTAAGATCATAGAATATTGATGCAACTGAATCATAGAAAGAGGGAAATTGAGAAATGGAAAAAGGTCAAAAACCTTTTCTGTGCAGCTTCAGCAGCTTTGGCACGCGCTTCTTCAGAGGCCAATCTCGCTTCTTCCTTACTCATGCGCTTATCTACCCCGAAGCAACCAAAGCAAAGACCCATCTTTGATCTATCTCTCTCTTCCTCTGTTTCTCTGTCCTGTTATCTGGGTTTCACCTTCTCTTACCAATTTCAATATAATTTAATTTCCCTTCTACCCTGTCACCACTAATTTTTTACTGAATAAACACGTTTTGTCCAAACTTTACAAATAGCAAAAAAAGTGGATTTTTATTTACCCGTATTTTTTATACATTCTGACCTTTTTTTTATACATTCTTACACTAAATTCGGAACGAATTTCTTTTATATTTTTAATTATTTTTATAAACTAAAAGTTTGAATTATATATATATATATATATATATATGTAAAGATATTAAATATGCTAAGAGATATATATATATATATATATATATATATATATATATATATATATATATATATATATTCACGTTCTTTATATTAATTTTTAATTTTTTTTTTTACATTTTATATGTATTACACATTTTTTTACTTTTCATATATCTCACCTCTCTTCCCGCTCATTATAACATACTCTATCTTAATTTTTCTTTTTTAATATTTTCTCTTCACTCCTCGTCGCATCAAAATTTGACAAAGATAATATAATTTTATAGATAATAACACCAAAAATATTTATAAAAAATTACTTTATATAAAGGCATAGATAGAAATATATTATATTTATAAATAATATTATAACAATAGATTTTTATTAATAAATAATAATAATAATATATTGTGCAATATCCAAAACAATATACAATCATAAAATTTACAAAAGATATATAATATCCATTAACGCATATATACATAATATCTTTTAAAAAGAATTTGCCTCTACTTAAAAATGATAATATATATATATATATATATATATATATATATATATATATATATATATAATGCAAAACAAAGTATAAATAATAAAAATTAATTTTCAAATTTTAGCATCAGGTTTAACCATGTTGACACTTGTCAGCTTGTATCATTCATTTCTTCTTGTGTCAATAATACACCTTTACAACAACACCCAGATAAGGTAAGTTAATAATTTTGTTTAAATCATTATAAATATATTTCTCATAAAACTTTATTCCATATTTATAATTTATCTTTCACATGTTTAAATAGTGTCTATACACTCAAAATGTCAGTTAATACAAACCCCTCACTTAACCATCATGATTTTGCCAAAAGAAAATTAGACACTTCTACGAAATTAGTCAACGAATTTGATAAATAGTTTGGGATGATAGTTGTTTTTGAATTTTTAGGTTGAAGCTGTATTCAATATTAAAAAGTAGGTCGAATTACAAAAATATTTTGATCTTTTTAAGTTAAAGATAATAGAAATAATAATAAAAAAATACCAACGACAATAAGATATAAAAAATAAAGTAATTTTATTTATAAATTTTTCAATAAAATATTTTAGATAATAAATTTCACGTTTTAATATTAATAATTATCTTTTAAATACAATATTATATATAGCTTATAAATTTTTATAAGTTTATTAACTAACTTAGTCTGTGAGTGCCATTCTACTTTTATTAATTTATTATATTTTAAGAGGTATTTTTTTTCTATTAAATTTTAATAAAAACATAGAATAAATATTTATACATTTATATATATATATATATATATATATATATATTATGAAATTTATAAGTTTACATTATTTTTATATTAAATATAATTATTAAAGTTAAAAGAAGTTTTTTCTTTAAAAATAATTAATTTATCAATGATATTTATTTTTCAGCTTAACGTCTCAAATAATTGAGAGTTAATATTTTAGTTATATCATTTAAGTTAATATTTTAGTTATATCAGATATAAGAGATAAAATAGAAAAATGAAAACAAATATAATGTAAAATAATATAATCTCAAAATAATATAAAAAATCAAAATTTTAATTTCATAAATGTATTTTATCCATTTTATATTATGAATATTTTAATTGATTTCTGTAATTACTAATAAAGATGAATAAACCCAAAATTAATCGCGTAATATTTATTCATTTCAATTTTCAATATCCAAATTCCAATTACAATGTTATCAAATATTTATTAAAAATATTATTTTTTTAAGAAAATTTAAATAAAATAGTTTGATAATATAAATTAATAAAAAAATATCAGTGTATAATTAAAGATAAAGTAAATAAAAAAAAATAAAAAAAGATTAGTACATAATTAAAGATAATTAAATAAATATAAATAAGGATCAATACATAATTAGAGATAAATAAATATAAAATAAAATTAATACGTAAATAAAGATAAATAAATAAATATAAAATAATATAAAAATATATAAATAAAAATAAATAAAGTAGAATTAATGTGTAAATAAAGATAAATAAATAAATATAAAATATGATCAATATGTAAATAGAAATAAATAAAATAGAACTAATTAATAACTAAATAAATAAATATAAAAAATTTAATGTAAAATTAAAAATAAATAAATATAAAACAAAATAAATGGAAACTGAAAACAAATAAATAAATATAAAAATAGAATTAAGATAAAATAACAAATAAATTAAATATAAAATAATATTTCTTGATCACATTCTGCAGTCCATTCTGAAACTGCAGCAGTTACATTTCTTGATTCTTTGGCACTTTGCATTAAGCACGAATTACAATATAAAATTAATGGCCAAGATGAAGCAAATGAGAAGTACAAATAGTCAGAGTGGGTGAATTTGGGAAAAAAATTTACTCTGAATAGGTAAGGAAGGAAAATGAGTGAAGGGAAGAGGGAAGAAGAGGCATTGTTGAAGCCGATGGAGATTGAGAACGGTCTCCGTCTGGTCCCGCGCGTGAAGCTCAACCTCTCCATATACCCTTCCACGCCCCTCACGCTCTCCCATGCAATCGACGAATGGAAAACCAAACGCGCCCTCATCGACTTCCTCCAAACCTCCCTCTCGCTCACGCTTCCGGAAGAGGACCTTCACATCACGCGCCACAAAAACCTAAAGAAACGCAAGCGGGACGACCCCGTAGCCGCCGGAACGCTCCGAGTGTGGGACCTCTCCTCCTTCCCGACTGAGGATCGCTTCCTCGAGTGGCGCAACCGCCTCGTGGAGAACCTGAACGGGATCGAACTCAACCTCGAAGGCCTCAAGTTCAAACTTTCCGTTACTGTTCCCTATTGCGACGATTTTAACCGCATGAAGAAGGAGTGGGAGGAGCATTCCGCATTTCGAAGTCGGCGAGAGCCTGATACCGTTATTCTGAGAGGCATGCCGTCGCGTTGGTTCGCTGAGCCAAGGGTTTCGTCTAAACCCTCCATGCTTGTTACTCACACTATCTTTTCTACATTCGGCAAAATAAGGTCTGATTGCTATGTAATTTTTCTTCAATGATTTTGAATCTTTTTCATCTCAGTCATATACTTATCTTCAGATAAATTTTGTGCTGCTCAATGGACTATCATTTCAGCTTCAAAGTATAAGCCAAAAGCTGTATGAATAATCATCTCTGTGTTAGAATATGTTTAGTATTTTTTTTTTCATATTTTCTAAACTCTTGTTAGAAAATAAAAATAAGAAAAAAAATGAAATTATTTTTCAAAAGATCTATATATAATAGTATATGGTTGAATAAACTTTTCTCTAAAACCAATACTGCAGAAGAAAATTAAATAAGTTTTTCCACAAATTAAAATTAGTTTATCATTAAGCTAGTTTGTATTGTAGAAGTTTTCTTTGTATTAGATATTTCGGAAAAAAGAAGATAATTTTAGCTACTGGAAAAAGTTATTTATTTATTTATTTTTGTTATTTTCTTGTTCTATGATTTCGGAAAAGTTTATCAAAATCTATAGTTTAATTATTTTAGAAACTATTAGGAGAGAGGATAAAAACTCTGTTAATTGATTGTGCTGCCAACTTCAGTCTATATCTATTTGATAAAAATTGACTTTAGTTTTTACATTTTAAAATCAGTGGTTCTGTTCTTCATGTTTCTGTAATGTGGTGGATTTTGTTATACTTCATTTTTACCTGACAAGGGACAAAATCTAGCTCATGGAAGACTAGAACATTTTAAAAATATAAGAACTAAATTATTTTTTGGTCAACTAAATAGTGTTGGACTTGGTTGGCAAATAGTTAGGGACCTAAAATACTAAAATACACATTTGATCCAATTTTTTAGTCATTCTACTGCTTTCAATAATCTGATTGTGCTTAACTGATTGATTTCTTCAATAGGAATCTTAATGTTGCCGAGGATGATGAATTTGGTAAGGATGCAAATGAAGATAGTGGAGACCTAGTTTCGGGCCTTTACTGCAAGATTGTGGTTCAGTTTGACAAATATAGAGACTGCCAGGATGCAATGAAAGTTCTGTGTGGTCGCTCGTTGGAAAAGGTATTGCTTAGTAGTGTCCGAGTTATTTTTCTCCCCTTTATTGCGAAATCATGCATATGGTAAAATTTCACAACCTGTTTTACTCGTTGAGATACATTGGGTAGACAACTTAGTGAATAAGTACTTACAAATAAGTAGTTTCTATAATAAAAGGAATTAGGATTAAATTGTTTTCATACTAATTGTAAGCTGCTTTTCTGAGCAGTCATGACAAATTGAATTCATGATTATAGCTGATGGAAAACTGAGTAGCAATTAGCATGAAGAATGTTTTGCAAAATTGAGAGATTGAACATGTTAATAACTGATATAAGTGATTTCTTGGTGATTATTTGTGAGTTGTTGTCAATGATCAGCAAGGATCACGATTGAAGGCTGATTATGAGGTTAGTTGGGACAAAGATGAATTTTTCCGAAATTCAAGGAACCAAAGTCAAGAGAGGACTAGCATGGCATCTAGAAGGGATAATTACAGAGGTGAAGCTTCCAGACGTCAGGGCTACGACTCTCGTCACAGTCCAGAAAATGTGCGACCCAGGAGATTCAAGGTTAGATATTGACATCTCAAGTGGCTCTCTTATTGTTGCGAGTTTCTTTTTGTTTTCTTTCTAAATCTTGTCCTTTGGCTCACTATTTTGAACCTATGTAAGTCATGACAAGCCTGCCCCCTTTACTTAATGCAGGAATGAGAACTGAAAGACTTTTTAATTTTTGGGTGCAAATTCAGAAGCAATTTATTGATGGACTGACTCAAGTTTGGTATATGGACTGCATACAATTTTCTTGGGGTCATTGACTTTGGTCAACTTCAAGCTAATGACTTGGGATAACGGGGATTGTATTATTAGGTGATAAACTTATTCTGACTTTAGAATTCATTGTTCCAAATTATGACCGAGTCATTAAAATACTGCTTTTTACGGATGATGCTGTTCAATCGGTTATCCTTAGGAGTCTGTACTTGTTTTGTTTGCTCATAATTGGGCCAAAGTATTACTATGGTTGATATGAGTTAATGTCATTTCAATGTGCTGTAAAATGATACAATGAGAAGAATGGTACCTTCCAATTTTCATCATTTATCTCTTTCTGAAGTCCATAAAATGTTGCATATCTTGCTAAGTAATATTTTTTTTTGTAGGCATTGACTATTAATTGCCATACGCCTAGAGAACATATAAATGGTTGTTGCGGAAATATGCTTCTAAAGCAAACTCAGATTTTTTTTTTTCCTCCATAAATTATAAGATGTTCTACTGATTTATCTATAGGACTCGACCCCTTTTACACTGAAGTAATATATAAATTAGACTAAACAGACTTGGATCGATAGGGGATCAATACTTCTCTGCACCTTGAAGAAATTGTAGAGTAAAAGAGGTTTTATTGGATAAGTAAGGCTTCCTTATTTTCAAAGCTGAATAAGACTGATTCTCATAATATGCGTTTCAAAATTATTTTTTATCATAAATCTATATTAAAATAATTATTTTATTAAAAAACAAGATTTTGTTTTCAAGTTTCAACCCTAAATCAAAACAAAACAGGGTCAACATGAGGACAAGAACTTGGATGTTGGTAGTGTTAGTCAGATTCAATAATGTAAGGATGTGGATTTAACATGTTTAAACACAATTAGTAGAGACAGAACGCCATCAGCAGCGACAATTTTTTTCTGAAGTTTATTACTTTTATTTTCTTCCTTCTTATTTACTTATTTATTATTAAAATTTATGATAATATTGATAATTATTTCTTAGAGAAGAGTAATGATAGAAGTGATGTTAAAATAGTAAGAGATATATCACATTGGGAAAATGCAAATAGTTTTAACAAATTCTTAACTTTGCTATTATGTTTAGTGGTTTTTATTGGACAACCATCTTTAAATACACATATAAGTTTGTCCATACATGTGAGAAATGCCAAAGAGTAAGGAGCAACCTGACCAAGCGAAATTAAATGCCTTAACAACCCATTATTTTTAGTGAAATATTTGATGACATTGATTTTATGGGGTCTTTCCTTAATTTTGTTGTTTTTTTTTATATCTTGCTCGTTATGGATTATGTGTCTCAATGGGTGGAAGCTAAAGTCACTCGGACTAATGATTCAAAGATTGTTGCATATTTCTTTAAAACTAACATTTTTTGTCGAGTTGGAGTGCCTAAAGCTATCATTAATGACCAGGGAAGCTATTTTTGTAATAGAGTTGTCACACCTTACTCCAAAAATATGGGGTGACCCACAAAACTTTCACACCTTATCACCCTTAAACAAATGGGTAGGTCGAAGTCTTCAATCAAGAGGTCAAGAATTTATTGCAAAAATTGGTCCAATCGCATAGGAGAAATTGGAGTCAGCTTCTCGATGAAGCCTTTGTTGGGTTTTTCGAGAGGGATTCATAAGGGAGAAATACATCAATCAGACATGATCCCAACCCACATAAGAGATTGACACCATTCTCAAACTAAAACCTTAAGACATTGGGTTATGAGTCTTTGTTCCTTATATGTTGCTCAACTTTCTTATTCTTATACAATGTGAGACTTAACTCACACTTGGATTACCCAACAATCTCCCCTTCAAGTGTGAGTCTTCCACATTGATACATCCCCTCGAACACACTAGTGGTCCTTTCCATGTATCGTTGTTCACTCTAACGGGACATGCTTACCTGACCTACTTTGTCAGGAAAACTTTCGATACAAAGACCACTTTGACTCACTGTCGATCAACCTTCGACTCTGATACCATTTGTTGAGTCTTTCGAGGGGGATTTACTAGAGAGATACAACATCAATAAGATATAAGTCCAACCCACATAAGGGATTAACAACACTCTCAAACCAAAACCTTAAGACATTGAGTTATGGGTCATACTTCCTTATATGTTGCTCAACTTTCTCATTCTTACATAATGTGAGACTTAGAATCACACTTGGATTCCCAACAGCCTTGTGGGCCAGAGAATAGCATAAAGGACACCCCTAGGAATGTCCCCATTCAAGGTGGTGTTTAGGAAAGTTTGCCATCTCCTAGTGGAGATAGAAGACATAGCTTACAGGGTCGTGAAGAGGTGCAACTTGGAATTTAGAAGAAGCTAGAAAGAAAAGAAAACTCTAATTACAAGAATTGGAGGAGATAAGGTTGGAAACTTACGAGAACTACATATTTTATCAAGAGAAGGTTAAGAAGTACCATGATCAGAAAATTATGAAGAAGGAGTTCTATGAAGGCCAAAAGATGCTCTTTGTTGAACATTCAAGGACTTGATGTTGCACTTGATGAACATGAAGATTGTTGATTTTGATGATGATTCAAGAACTCAAAGACTTAGAGTGTTGAAGACTTATTTTTGTAGTGTAATAACTCTGTTTTAATTAGATTGAGTCTGTAATTATAGAGTTTGAGATAGCCGGTACATAGTCTGCAACTTAGAAGCTTCAAAAAGCCCAAATATATCATCCAGGCTCGGCTTTAATCGATTATATAGGGAAATGATCGATTAAAACAGTGAGAAAACCGTTTTCAGTATATACTCACTGTTTTAATCGATTAAAACATCAAAATAATCGATTATTAGGTCAAATAATCGATTAAAAGTTCAAATAATCGATTAAAACAGAGAGGTTTTGGGTTCTGTTTTTTTGGCTCTGTTTTAATCGATTATAACTTCATTTAATCGATTATTTCAGTCTGTTTTTCATTTTAAATTTCAAATTAACCCTATTTTCAAAAACTCAATTACCAAGAACCCTAGTTTCGAAATCCCCAATTTCTAAACCCTAATTTCCCTACTTAAACTCTCCTTTGGCACTCAGAAAAGGAAGAACAACCTTTTCCATACAAAAGTTAAGTGCTGTGAGTGCAAGAGAACTGTTTGTTGCAAGGAAAGGGGGCTTTTGGAACCTGGTGTGGGCTAGAAGCGATAAGAATCACTAAGTGGAGTTCTTAGTGGATTGTGTGTTGTGCCGTCTCTGGGGAAAGCTGTTCTTCATCTCTTGTGGGTTTCAAGAGAAGTGTTATCTTTATCTTTATCTTGTCAATTGTAATATGTTGTAACAACTTGTTTATAGTGACAGCGTTAATCCTCTGTTTGAGTGATTAGCAACTGGACGTAGGGTCTTTTGATCCGAACCAGTATAAATCTCCTGTGTAAGATTCTCTATCCCTTTCTCTATTTACATTTACACAGATTTTAATCGGTAAAATTTGGGGAAAATTTTGAAAACCTAATTTTTATTAAGAAACCAATTCACCCCCCCCCCCTCTTGGTTTTTGTTCGACCACGCGATCATTCCGCTGCGCGATTCTAACAAGATTTAATTCCAAGCTCAAACTCATTGCTGGTAAGCTTAGATCTAAAAGGGATAGTCCATATATTGTGACTAAAGTTTTTCCCCATGGTGTAGTTGAAGTTTTTGATGAAGCTACCAACAATACTTTTAAAGTCAATGGCCAACAACTCAAGGTTTTCCATAATAGCACACCTCGAAAAGAGGAAGGCATTGACTAGCTCAACCTTTTCGTACCAAGGGTCGAGGAGTTGCACCAACTACCATGACATGCAGAGTTTGTTCACTCCCAACCACATTAAGGAAAATGTTGGACTTAAGTGTGTGGAGGGGGGATTTCTTTTCAATTTATGCTTTCTACTTTTATTTCGATTTATGTTTTTTGTTCCTTTTTTGTCTTGTTGTTTTATTGCATTTTTTTTTGTCTAAACTGCTTTTATATTTTGTGTGTATTTGTTTCAAGTGTTATATAGTATCCCTCCATAATTATACTTTAATGGTTATGCTTTGATTGAACCTCAATTAGTTTTCACTGTTGGCACTTGTTTCAAAAAGAAAAAAAAAAACTGTGAGCATTTGTGAATAATTATTGAATTCTTCATCCTTAGTTAAGACTCTTAAGCCTGATTGACATGTTCATGCATTGCGCTTAGTTGGATTCTCATGAAAATTTTGATTTTAGATCAAATTTGATAATTGTGACCTTAGTGAGCTTTGAGCCTATTTTATTTCTTGTGTGATTTACTCATGCTTACATTGCACTCCAAAACTTGATTAAAATCTTTTTTATGATACTTATTCGATTGCACTCTTGAAAGGATCTAGGCCAATTTTCGATTCAATTACTTAGCCAAATAGCCTACTTGTATAATTTTCCCTTGCACCTAGGCATGGCAACAGGGGCAAAGCAGGGATGGGTTTTGCCTCCCCGACTCTGTTCCCGACTTTTTTAATCATCTCGTCCCCAATCCTCGTCGGGGTTAGAAATTAAGTCCTCATTCCCGTCCCCGCTGGGTTTCAAATTTTCTTGCCCCCGCTCTGTTCCCAATCTATATTATTTTTAAAAAGATAATTATATTTATAATAAATTAATTTTACTATATATAAATAAATATTTATATTTTTACAATTTATAATTATTATTAATTAAATATATATTTTAATTTATTATATTTATATTAAAATATATATGTAAAAAAATATTTAATCATTATATATATATATATATATATAATATTTATAACATTAATATTATAACACTC